ACAGGAGGAACAGATGATGTATGAGGAAAAAATATGAGGGAAGCTATGCAAGAGAATGGAAAAAAGAAAGGAAAAGAGGAGAAAGACAACTGAATGAGGCACATGGAACCAAAAAGGGGGAAAATGAGTAAATGAAATATGTTTGGATGTTGGGCAGAGGTGAAGAAAAACATGAACCGGGTGAGAAAGGAGATACAATGAAAGAGGAAATGGGCAGCAGTTCTGAGGAAGAAACCTACTGGCTGGACCATGAAGCTAGCTGGATCAAAAGCGTAAGAATACAAGGGTACAGGAACCAAAGAGAAGTAGAACAGAGAAAGCAAAGGAAAGGCTGGGTAAAGCCAGGATTAGAACAGTTAGGAAAAAAATAAACAGAAGAAACTGCAGTTACTACAGAACATATTTTTCTAGGGACTGCAGAGAGCCCAGCATCTCAGGCTAGTCCTTCCTTTTGTCAGCACATTTGTGTTGTTTGCTGGTACTGCACCTCACTTTTCCCAGGGCAGGATGAACCTCGGTGTCATCAGTTACTCTCTTACCTCAAGCATCACATTGACAAAAGAGGTTCCAAATCTGCCACTGACACTTATGTGGGCTGTCAAGTGGGTAGCACAACTAAATAGAATGCTTCTCATCTTGTTTGTTTTCTTCCTCCATCAGAAATACACACACAAGTAATTACGAATGAAAAGTGTATGCCTCAAGCATTAGGAAGCACCAGAACTAGGAGTGCATCTGCAGCCCTTAGTCATCTTCATTGTACATCTATTCCTCACGCTGCCAACTATCCCAGTACTTTCCAACTCTCTCAAGGTTTGAGGCTTCTCCACTTACACAAAACTGCTATCACCAGTGAAGCAATAAAAACAGAGCATGAAACAGGAAAACTAGAATGCTCGTTCTTTTTTCTTTTCTTTTTTTTTTTTCTCCATACCTTATTACTTACTTCTCCAAGCAGTCAGAAGTACATTAAGTATGTCATAAAACAACCAAAAATATATGGTATCTAGAAGGTACTGTCAGGGAGCAGCAAGGGTCAGCTGCTTCCTAGGGATGGGAACTGAGGGGGATAACACAGCCAGCAGGACAGAGGCCTCAGCAGCCAGGGCCCAGGCCTGCAGTACCTGACTGAAGTGAGCAGGACAGTAGCAAAGCCCAAGTAAGGATCCAGAGAATAAGGCAGTATAATGATGATGAGGCAGGTCCAAGGACAAGCTGGGAAGTCAATCCACAGGTCAAAGTTAAAATTGGGTCTACTGATCACCAGGCAGGTTCACAGGAATGGGGCCAGGCCAAGCAGTCATCCCATGGGTTGGGGTCCAGATCAGGCCTTGCGAGGGTAACCAGCGTCAGACACAGCCCATTGATGGCCTGGCAGGGCTCCAGGGATGGGATGAGGCTGGGCCAGGGCAGGACCAGGACCATGGCAGGGCTGGAGACTGGCACTGCTACAGTTTCACTGGGGCAGGGACCGACAGCCCCAGGCTGGGCTGAAACGGAGGCCTAAGGCTGGGCAGGGTGGGCAGGCCCCAGGGATGTGCACAGGGACAAGGAGGGTCAGGAGAGCCCTCATGGCTCTGACAGGTACAACCTAAAACATAATACTGCAACAAATAGCAGTCATAGTCTAAACAAGGAGCTAAAAAATAGGACAAGAAATTTCAGTGAGCTAAATGATACACATTTCGATAGCTGCAAGAGAACATTTCAAACCTAAGCACAACCTGAAAGAGCTGCAATGAAATTAGATGGGGGGGAAATATCTTAGTTAGAACTACTGATGAAACAGTGGAAGTGCAGAAGGAGATCAAATGCGAGATGAAAAATGCACTCTGACTCAGATCCTACTGAAGGCAAAAGAGGTAGTGGGGAGACTAAATGGAAATGCACTACATCTTTGAAATAGTATCATAAAACAGACATTTTAACCATCCAGAAGGTGCAGAGATTAGTAGTGAATGGCTGCAAAGAAAGAAAAAACATTAGGCTCAAGAGAAGGAGTTAAGATTATCACAGACATGGGAACAAGTTAAATTTAGAATTAGCTGGAACTGATACAGAAGAAAGAACAGCACTGCCACATCCTGAACGTGGAGAACAAAATTCTTCCTCTGTGCTTTCTGTAGACTATGATAGCAACTTCACCTGGTTAGCTTTTCCATGAAGTTTGTGTCAAGTACAATGCACTCTAAGGCTATTTTTCCACCTCATTTTCTGTAGGATTTTAAGTATCTTCCTTTTTCTGATGTACTGTGAACTTATCCCAGTTCAAACGACAGAAACCGTGTCCCATCTGAGACTTCCCCTCATTTCTCATGAGAGCAGCGTCATTCCCTAGACACTGGTCTGAATTTTGTTAGCTAAGGTCTTCTCCCATCTAACAGGTTCTATGATAGAATTCAATATCATGAATCAGATTATCTTTGACGAGGTTCCAAAAAACATTCTGTATAAAGAATTCTGATATTTCTCTGTGACCTAAATATTTTCTGATATCCGAACTGATGCTCTAAAAACAGCAACAAGTTAAAAAAAGGCAAATTTATAAAAATTTAAGTTTATGAAAATATTGGTAGCTATTGCTTGTGATAGACAAGGCTGTTTTAAAAAAAAAAAAAAAAAAACAAGGGGGGCCCAGAAATAAAAAAACTGCCTGCAAAAAAAGTTACTCTTTATGCCTTCTGATATGAAGCTCTAAACTCAAAACAGTTATTAATTTTTCAGCTACTGCCACATGTTGCTTCCTTTTTTTTTTTTTTTGAAAGCAACTGTAACAGGAATTTGAACACAGAAGGGGTTGAGAATTAATTCTCATACCCAAATTCAGAACTTAACAGTTATTACTCTATGCATATATCGAAGAGGAATTATTTAGGTACAACCACAAAAATAACTACAACCAAGAATGCAGAACTAAAGGCTAGATCCAGTAGAAAGCTTCCAGAGTCAGAAAGCAGTCAAGTTTCCAGAAGTGGACACAACTACTCTCTCGTCCACTTGCCATCAGAAAAAATTAGCAGCTGCAATTATATGTAAACATAAACAAGCCCAGTCATGTCATGGTGTCAGACACACTCTGACTGCACTTACCAAATCAAGCTTCACAAAGAACTTAACACTCACCTGCCTACTGTCTGAACCTCAATGAAACTGAGGCAGCCAGTAGACATCCAACCCTCTCCAGAGGGCTGACGCTCAGGACATGCAGAGAAGCAGG